TACCCCCACTGCTCTAGGCTGCCTTGTAGACTTGCTCCAGTGAATGCAGGGAACAGCAGGCTCCCTCAGCAAGGAGCTTAAGACTCCACTTCAAAAGAACTTAGGACAAAGCAAACAGCAGGCCACCTTCTTTCACATTCTAAGGTTCCCCGACCTTCTAAACCCTGCTTTATATGAATGAAAGTTGAGTGTCCTGAGTCTGGCTGAAGTCATGCTTTGGAGTATGTTCACTGTAAACAGCACAAAGACAGTTGTCCCAACATTGCCCACTTGAAGAGTCATATACATCGGCTGAGGTGCTCACAGGGAAATGTGACAAATACTGTCAATGACTGAATTCACCAAGTTCCCAAATATTTACATTTGGTGGAAAGTGGGAGCGATTTGAAACCAAACCTTCAGTGCACTGCTTGACCAAAGAGGGTTCCTAAGTGTGTAAAATGTTTGCCAATGCTTTAAAATGTGAAGTTATATTTACTATATGTTTTTTAATATTCCAATTTCAGCTCTTTTTTGTGAAATCAAAAATTTCACAGTGGTGTGGAAGGTCCTCTGTCTATGTGTTGCTTTCATTGGTTAATGAATAAAGAACTGTTTTGAGCCCATGGCAGGAAAGAGCAGAACTAGATTAGAAAGCTAGGCTGTATGCTGGGAGAAAGAAGGGAGGAGTTAAAGAGAAGCCATGGAGCCACCACCAGAGTCAGACATGCTGAAACTTTGCTGGAAAGCCACTGCCATATGACAATACACAGATTAATGGAGATGGGTTAAATTAATATGTAAGAGTTAGCCACTAAGAAGCTAGAGCTAATGGGCCAAGCAGTGATTTAATTAATGCAGATTCTGTGTGATTATTTGAGGTCTAAACAAGCAGGGTGGCTGAAAACCAACAAGCGGCTTTTTCCCTCCTACATCACAGAGCTTGCATTTGTTCCCGTCATTCCCAGATAGCTCTGTGCAACACCCTGAGAAGGGGCAGCCCCTGACGAGTTCCCCCACAGTCCTCACTCAGCCCTCTTCTGGGACACTAAAGTTTAGAACTATTAAGTCTTAGCAGAGACCGTCCCTATGGAGACCACATCTGACCTTTCACACTAAAGATCCTCTGGCAGGAATCTGCCCCCTCCCCTGTGCAGTCTGTCTTCTATAATAACAGAAGGTGTTGTGCAACCTGCCAAAGGAGGGAAGCAATAAATTGCCCTACCCAGCTGGGACACCTACGAACCACAACGATGACCTGCAAGGCAAGGGATCTCTGAAGGTACAACAGTGACAGATTCTGGCGGTAACCAAGAGCTGTCTAATTGAGTTTCAGGAGCCCACTCAGGAGCGAAATCATACCAAGTCAACCACCCAGGGTGAGTAAGGCCATGGTTCTTAGAGAGGAACCCACTGTATAATCACTTTATTGGATCAGCAAAATTCCTAAGGGCATTCTAAACCTTCTCCCGGCCCTGTAGTTCTCATCTGTCATCAAAAAAGCTTCTCTTTACAGAAGACAGAGACTGTTACAAAAAACCACAGCAGGTCAAAACACAGAGAACAGCTGATTGTGGGGTACCCAGCCCCAAGGGATACATATAACACAACTCCCCACATGTTGGAAGAAGTGGGTAGGAGATTCTAAGAGCCAGAAGACCAATTGTCCTGATGTTAGATTGTGTCTACGAGAATGATAGAAAAGCTTCATTCATGATAACAGCGTCCCTGCCTAAACAAGACCTGCACAAGAACACCAGTGGTAGCTGTGCATGCCTTTAGACCCAGAACTCAGGAGGCAGAGGCTGGTGAATCTTTGTGAGTTTGATGTCAGTCTGGCCTACAGAGAGTTCTAGGAAAGCCAGGGCTACACAGTGAAGTCCTATCCCGCCCCCCCAAAAAAAAATATGAAAAAAAAGTTAAGGTAGAAAGGGGAAATGACAAGGGATCCCACCCCTCCACATAGAAGCCCAGGGAATTAGTAACTACTGGGAGAGAATTAGCCTTGCTCACGGATGAGCTCTCTAACTGGTCACCCAATACAGTGGTCAGCCCCCCCCGCAAAATCATACACATAATAAAAGAAACACTAAATGCATTCATCAGGTTGTACATATATATTTATGCATATATATGAAACAATAACAATTAAAGAAAAAGAAGCCATAAATTTGAGAGGGAGGCGAAAGGGATATAGGACAGGTTGGAAGGAGGATTTAGGAGGGCTTGAAGAGAGGAAAGGGAAGGGGAAATTATGTAACATTTTAATTTAATTTTTTTGTTTTATATTGTTTTCTGTGTAGCCCTGGCTGTCCTTGAATTCCCTCTGTAAACAAGGCTAGTCTCAAACTCAGAAAGAACGCCTGCCTCTGCCTCCCAACTGCTGGGATTAAAAATGTGTGCCATTATGTCTGGCTTCATTTTTTTTTTAAACCATATATGTAAACCAAGGACTCAACTAGGAAATTACAATAAACAAAAAAGATTCTTTTTCTTTTATCAAAAAGTCATGTGACTTTCAGTGTTTTCTCTGAAATAAATGGGGGGGGAGGATTAACCTAAACATTTTATTTAAATTAATAGCACATTCAGCCCTTAACATTTAAATATATGGTGAAGGTAAATACAAGTATGTGTGGAATGGACTCTAAATCCTTGTGTCTAGGAGGGACACAGTAACTACTGTTCAGAGCACAGAATGCCAACACCTGCAAGGAAAAGCAAGGCTATACCCCAGACCAGAATGTAACATGAACCAGCCAGCCAGGGTTACTAAAAAATCTCTGTCCCTCTTCTCTCTCTCTTCTCCTCTTCTCCCCTCTCCCCTCTCCCTTCTCCCCCCCCCTCCCCTCTCCCCTCCCCCCCCCCCTCTCTCTCTCTCTCTCTCTCTCTCTCTCTCTCTCTCTCTCTCTCTCTCCAAACAGGGCTTCTCTGTGTAATAGTCAAATAGCCCTAGCTCTCCTGGAACTCACTCTGTAGGCCAGGCTGTCCTCGAACTCACAGAGATTCCCCTGCCTCTGCCCAGGGCTGGAATTAAAGGCATGCACCACTATGGCCAGCTACCAAGAGTCTCTTAAAGGCCTGGAAACAGTATTGTAATGTTCTTCCTTGTCGACAAAGGCAGAACACTGTATTAGACTGCAACAAAGATAGTGATAATCTCGGGAATTTTCCAATTTCATTTGTGAAATGAGTTTTAAATAAATAAGCCTGAACCGAAACTCACCAACCAGCCATGGTAGCGAATTTCAAGTCATTTGCAGTGAAGTATTCTGTTGTGAGTATAACAGTGAACACAAATTAAAATTGCCACCAGGAGGCCTCAGCCCTACACAGAAAGGCATGCCGAGAGTGCAAGAAATATTCTTCCCTGGAGACAAGCACACCAGTCGGCTATGCAGCACCAAATGGTGAGCCCTGAAAACACACATGCACACTAATAACATTACACGGCTACTAGTATTTCATGTGTGTGTGTGTGTGTGTGTGTGTGTGTGTGTGTGTGTGAACTAACAATGAAAAAGTGGGGCATGAATTTAAAGGGGAGAAAGGAAGGGGTACATGGGAAAGCTTGCAGGGAGGAAAGGGAAGTGGGGAATGATGCTATTATAATCTCAAAAATAAATGATATTTTTTTTTAAAAAAAAATCTTATTTTCCCTCTTCACATTGGCCTTTCTGGTTGTTTATGGTATTTGTCGCTTGGGGGCTGGCCTGACTGCCAGTGTTCAAAAGCACTTCCTGTTCTCCCAGAGGACCAGAGTTGGGTTCCCAGCACCTACACAACCACCTAGAAGCACAGCTCCTCAGGGGGATCCAAAGCCCTCATCTGGCCTCCTCAGGAACATGTCTATGCATGCATGTGTGTGCACTCATGCACACACACACACACACACACACACACATACAAATAAATAAATAAAAATTAATCTGAAAATAATAAACCCAAAGATGTTTTTCTCCTTTAGAATGCAATAGACTGAAGACAACTGTCTTTTACTTCAGTTTTGTTAGAGGACTTTGTGAAATGTCAGCAGCAAACGGTAATATTACAGTTCAATTGTGGAATAAGAATAAAATAAGAACTTGATATAAAATGTTTTTCTCATCTATTCTTAATTTCCCAGCTATCTAAATGATACCATGTGATAGAACCTGAGACTTATTTATTTATTTATTTATTTTTATTTAGTCCACACGGATTCCCCTAAAAACCTAAATCACTTTGAAAATACAATTTAAAAAAACACACACACAATGTTGCGAAACACACACACACACACACACGGAGAGACACATGCACACACTTTTCTTTCCACACTTCCAAGCCTGACTCCCAAGGCATAGCCAACTATGCTGAAGTTTCCTACCTCGGTGAGAGCAGTGGTTCTCAGCCTTCCTAACGCTTTAATACGGGTCTTTATGGTGTGGTGACTCCCAAACACAAATTATTTCACTACCACTTCATAACTGCAATTTTGCTACTGTTATAAATCATAATGTAAATATCTGATAATCCAGGATATCTGATGGGGGTCACGGTCCACAGGTTGAGAATCGCTGTGTTAGCTAGATCTGCACCTGTTTACTAAGAAAGTCGAGGTTTCATTTAGAAACAGAACATTTCGAGTTAGTAAACTATGGAGAAATATTGAACACTAAGCTAGAAGCTTAAAACGACGTTTAAAACCTCTTCTATCACAGTGATTCTGAAGTCGCTCACGTACGCGCTTACTGTCACAGTGGGTGCGAAACCAACAGCAAAGGTCTTCCGGCTTCAAATTCATAGAATTCTACTTCGCTGACAACCTAACAGTTCGAACTCTAACCCTAAACTGTGCTCTGAAATCTCACCTCCCAGGCCCGGACACCTGGAGGTGCTTTGGTGACAGTGACGTGCTGGCCAAGCAGGCAGATGTAAAGACAGGACCACCAAAACGGAGAACCGGGGTGGGGGGTGGGGAGTCTCCTGTACTTCTAATAAACAGACTTGCACGCATGCACTCCTTGGCGAAAGCCAGGCAAACCAGCGCCAGTCACCAGGTTCCTCCTAGGATCCGCGCTTTTTCCTTGAGTACTCAGCTGACTTGCCATCTCCTCCAGGCCACTCGGCATCTACTTTCCTTTCTACCACTCAGGTCGGCCAGCCCATCCCGAGGCTAACCCAACCACCAATTACTTTCCCTCCCACTCCCAGATCCTAAATGCTGAGCGAGAGGAACGCGCCACGTGGATCTCGTGCCAGCAGCCAGAACCAACAGGGTCCCTGTCTCGTCAATCCCCGCGGCTCTGCTCCCGCCCTGGGTGCATGCAGACGACTTGCCTGGTTAGGGTCGGTGGCTCGGAAAACGTGGCAGGCCATCTGAGACTCGGGGTCGTCCGGTTGCGCCTTTATCAGGTAGGCAAAGTAGGTGAGGTCGTGGCTGTTGTGGATGAAGCGCGAGATGTGCTGCGCCTTGTGCTCGAAGATGAACACCCCGGTGTTGGGCTGCACAGTCCCGGAGCCAGCGCTCCCGCCGACCCCGGCACCCGGCGCGGGGACGCAGCGCAGGAAGGGCGCGCTGAGCA